ATAACAGGGTTGAGTTTTCATTGTAATCTTTTTTTTTAAATTTAGGAAACCAGGTTCCCCGGGCAGGGATAACTTTCAATTACACTGCTGATTAGTGGGAATAGGTGGAATTGCTTCAAACATTTATTGGGCTTCCGAGAGGTATTGCGGATAATCTGGGTTGTTACCTCCGCCAAGGAGGTTATGTTTTCATCGGCGTTGATTTGTTGGGCTGTCTGTTAACAAGATAACTCAAAAAGTTATGGACGGATTTTCATAAAAACTATTTTTAGGGGATGGGGTGTCCTTGGTACAAGTACAAATCGATTAGAAAGTATCCGGATCTGCGTCTGGATGCAGGATTTTTAAAAAGGGAATTTTCACCCATCATTTGGAAAACCTGCACCCTGTCTGACTAGCTTCGTGTGCGTGGCACTGACCAGGTGACCCTGTATGCCTTAACACCCACTTAATCCAGCCACACACGTCAATGGACTAGACCAATGTATAAACTGGGGTAGTGGAAAGGTAGACCGACACATGCATATACAACCCAGGTTTGTTTATGGTGTAAGTTGAGGATTTTCTATTGTTCCTCTTCCCTTTCCTTTGTTTATATACTAACTTTTTTGCAACAGCTCTCATTGGTTTTGTACACGTTTTCTAATCGAGGTCGTCCTCCATTTGGTTCCTGTCCTCAATTCACGGATGATGTTGCACGTGTGTGTCCTCGATTGACACCATAAACATGCACATAAACATTTCAAGCTACAGAAAGTTTGAGGTGAAGCATTTGTTTTAGAAACCACATTTGTGCATAGGTGCTGTGTGTAATGGCGGGAAATTGTTTAGCCTTGGCGGAGTTGTGCGCTCTCAGTGCTTTCTAGGTTTTTTTTTTATTGTCAGTGCCTTCGCTTATCTTTTCTAACGTTCTGACATCCACAACAACCAAGCACGATGAACGTCACGCAGGTTTTGCCTTATTGACTTCTGCCAAAGGAGATAGACCCTCTGATGGAAGGCTTGGACACTGATCTGGCGATAGTAGTAAATGCCAGAGCTCCTTCACTCAATTGGATCTTCTGTGAACCTTGCAAAGATGATGTATGACAAAAGTTGTTGACAAGTGAATAAGCCTCTTAAAAGTCATACATATTCTTTGTGCATGCTTTGCAACTAATCCCCAGTATACAAAGATGAGTAAATGTTGACCTGGGATGTTGCAGATACTCTGACTGATACAAAATGTAAGGGATTGTATAGTCTTTAACAAACTACACTGCCCGTTTACCACAACACAATCTACAGAGCACGGTGACATGCAGCTTATGCTGTGCCTCAGGGTGTTTCTCCAATCCCAGACGTTAACCCCGTCTCACCAAACCATCACCGCTGACTGTTCCTCACCCCCGTCCAATCCAGACCGACTCTCGGCACCTCTCGCCCCGTCTTCCCACTCACACCTCCCGGCCATCCCCTCCCCGTGATTCCCCCAAACATCTTTTGTTCTCGTTTCTCCTCTTGTTTTTGTGCCTCCCAGCGACTCCAGATTACAAGCCCCGGCCCCGGCCAATTTGCAGAGGCAAAAGTGTGCAGTGCAGATGTCCTAATGTAATATCACACAGTCCGCGACTCGCTAATCGCCGACCAGTCGATATTGGTCGCCCCAAGCGGCCAGGTTTTATTATTCGCCCTGTCAAACTACAAGACACAGGACGACGACACCTCAGAGGATATACAGCTAGACTTGGCTTGCTGAACCTTCCCGACACGTCTTTATGCCTCTAAGGGGGCATTTTGTACGCGATCTGTTTGTACACGATCGATGGTAGCTTGGTTCTGTAGCACAACAAATCGAAACTCTGCCACAAAAATTATTTCTTTGGCTCAAAGTTGTGTCTGGTGGGTGTTGTTTGACAACTATGACGACCGGCTGAATACGAAAGTGGCTCTTTTATAAAAGGGCAACAGCCAGACATAGTACACCTTAGCGTAGTATGGACGTATTCACTGATAAGGTTACTCACTGCGTTATCTACTTCATGTAATTTCTATGTAGGGCCTACGTATTATCACTTTCAACACTATGCAAACAAAATGTTTACATGAATGAAAATTAATGAATGAGTTAATACATGTATTTTCTCAATCACCAGGCGTTAGTCCTGATGAAGACTGATACTACAATCAGTGAAAGGAAACTGTATCGGTGTTGGGAAATACTCTTTTTACCAACTCGTTTATCTTAGAATTACCTAGATTATCATTGCATCGCAGAGTTGTAATGACTCGAGTCAATGACTCGACTCGAGTCCGACTCGAGTCACACTGGAGTCCCTATTAGTAAATGACTAGACTCGACTCGAGTCATTGCGAGCAATTAACTCGACTCCAGTCCCTCACCAGATGCCTCGACTCGACTCGAACTCATTATTAAAGTGTCCTACTTTCTGAAGGTGGCTATAAACCCCAGCAGAAATCGCATTTCATAATTCCCAACAATTTAATAACTTCACGAGGAAAATTGCATTCAAAACTGAGTAACGCAACGCATTTGTAACAATCAACATTGTTTTAATACCGGAGATGGAACGCAGCTTATGAACATATCACCATCCATCCATGTGGTCTTAAGGTCCTCTTATAAACACAAGCGCGAGTGTGGAATATCAAAGTTCGTAATAATCATCTCCAGTTATTTGCCAATGTTCCAACCCTCTGATAACCAGACCATCGCTGTATAGCGTGTCATACTGGTATTTAGGGCCGTTTAAGCCGAGCACTTGCGTGTGAGCTGTGTTTGTACTGACACAGAATCTAATTACTGTCCTTTTGTACGCGTGGCGTGTGTTTCTGCGTTAATTTGCCCGCCATATTCCCATCTTGGCTAAAACAGCGCGTTGTGGCAGCGTTCAATGGCTCTGCGTCATGCACATTATCATTAACACTACAAACGTGTCCAATAAATTGAAATGCAATGCCAGATATAGTCAGTGATTGAATACAGCGATCAGCAGATGGGCTAATGCATCCGGATTCCAAAGGTTTATATTATTCCATGAGAGCTCTGCTAATTGCTTTTTGGGCAAATGCTTACTGCTATAAGGTACTGAAGACAGTAACTATATCAAAACCAAAACCAACACCTTAGAATTTAATGTGAGTTATTTGTTTTATTTTGTATTGTCACTGTATCCCTCTAAATGTATAAACGCACCGTCCTGTCTTCGTCCGTATACATGTACTACGTAACTGTTTCGTGTCTAATCTTCTCCCATCTCTTAGCATGACCTGTGCTGTGGCGAAAATAATTCTTATTCCTAATCAGTTTGGAGCAGGGCGAGCCTGACAAATAGCGTTTTCTAGTGTTGTCCCTGGCAACTTGTTTTGACGATAATTATATCAAGTAGTGTAATGAAGCCTGCTGTTTGTCATTCGAGGATTCCAGTGAGAATTTCTCTTAAAACTGCCTTAGGATTTGAAATAGTGTATAGTGTTACCATCACATTAATTGGGTTAAAGACAGATGCGCCAAGCAATGGAAATATTCTCGGAATCTTCATTTAACTTTTTTTTTCAACATTGCACATAACATGGGCTGCTGAGGGCGTCAGAAGTTCAGTAGCCTCTAAGTGCACAATGTGATAATGTTTCGTGATCGAATTCAAATGAAAATACTGAGTAAAGACGAAGTTTCTGAACATGAAAGTCATTAGTAGAGGTAAGTTCGACCATCTAAAGAAGCGATACATTTTTGCCAATTTACAGAAGCGGTTTTTTTTACATTTGTTTTAACATCGAAATCCCGAGTGACATAGAATTTCTATTTCAAGAAAGATACATGAAATCACATGCACTCAAAAATTGAATTATGTTTAGCACTACGAATACACAAACATAGAAAGATCCCAACCCGAGTGAAAGCACAGTTTCTATATCACAGTGGCATTTTATAGGAGCTCTCCAGTATCGCTCATGCATCGAGCGAATGAGTTCTCAAGATGGCTGCTGAATAAACCACTTCATATGCGGTCAGTGAGTTTTGATGGCCTAGTCACTAATACACGTGCGTTGCCAAACACTTGGTTTTTTGTATTAAATAATGCCAGTTGTTTCACTGCACCATCGAGTACCTATACTGCTCTGAATCAACAAGTAGGCCTACAACATGTAGACACGTAACAATTTTCATTCACAGACACCTGTACCACTGACGGAGGAAGTAGCTTTAACTACATCCGTACAATTAAATTTTTCAATAGGTATATTACGTCATAAACGGATTGTTATGTAACAGGTGCCTTATAAAATGCCCGTCTGTGACAAAAAGGAATTTGTATTTCTCTAACAGGATAAACAGGTGCATGGAGTTAATTGATTTCTTTGTTTGAAATGAGGTGAATGCATTTTTCTAAGGACAGACGATGGCTAGAATGATGCAACATACCGGATATCTCATTTTCTCAGAATTGTTTCTAATTAATTGCATATGCATCGTTCCTCAAAAGGTACCGTCCGGTAGTAATGTAAATTGGAAACGTGGCTCGTTTCAGGGTCCTGGTGCTGCATGCTCGAATGTTCTTTCCCGTTTTGAAATGATGCTTGTTTAAATGCACATTAATGTAGTGGGGCCTGTAACAGGAAAGGGCTGTAGTTCTCGGCGACTTTTCATGGTTGGCAAATCTCGGGAGGAAGTGTATATATATAATGATGAGATATTTATGCATGTTTTGATGTCAGCTATCTTGGAGTTGGAGGTTGGAGATAGTTGGAATGAATCCGAAAGGAAAAAACAACAACAAACAAACAACCAACCAACACAAAACCTCTAAAGTGTCTGCCGAATGCACGGGTCCAACATGATAAAAACTATTACGAACTTCTTTGGAATCACCCGAAGGGCTCCGTTTGAGATAAGTTGTTCATTATGACCCATGCCTAATAATGTCTCGTATCTCCAACTGGACCCATTAAAAACACAACACATCCTTGTATCCCATGGATTCTAGCCTTGCACTTACCGCTCCTAGGTTTGACTGTCAGCGTATGGTGAAGCGCCGCCTGCAGGTTCCCGATCCGGATGTGCGCAATGATTGACGTCACACCGTCGGGAACGAGGGCCACCACTATGGACCAATCAGTGTGGTTAAGGCTATCCACCTGCGACTCAGTGTGCGTGAAGATATCACCTCTGGGCGATACCCATGGACCACACATGCCAGTTCCAAGCTGTTCAAAATAAAATAAAAATGACACATAATGAAGAATTCAGGCCTAGTCAAAACTGTCCCTTTCCAATCCATTGTGTGTGTATTTTTGTTTAGCTGTGGGTAGCAGCTCAACAAATCACCCTGTCCCTCCGTTAGTCCGTTCGTTAGTTCGTTACAGTGGCGCATCCAGGATTTGGCGGGGGGGGGGCTCACAATTTGTTTCAAATATTTCAGAAGTTTAATTTTGTTCAAAAAAATTTTTTTTTTTTTTTTTTTTTTTTGGGGGGGGGGGGACTTTTTGACGTTGGTGGCGCCACTTACACCCCTATTCTACTACTATAGAAAATAGGCCACATACATATCACCAAATTAAAATCGTGGGACTAAAAAAAAATTACCAAGAAAAAAACACCAATATGCAGGGAAAGGAATCTTCTATAGTTGGATATATTTTCACTAGCTTTCTTTGTGAAGTATTGTACTGTAACTGCAATGTCGGGCAACCACAGTTTGTCGAGATTCGCTTAGCAAAAAGCACTCGATTAAACCTAGCAAGTGAAAGGTGTAATGGAAAACACCTCCTGATTAGTTAAACCAAACTAAACATAGCTCAGGAGTATCTTGTTAATTATAATTACGTTGGAAAAACGTTTTTTTAAAACTACTGCCCCCTATTTACCATATCTAGTTTGTTCGCATTTTGTTTGCAATCGATTATACAGATATTAACGGGTTCAAGCCAGCTAGACTGGTTCCCTGACCAATTCCCTGCCGTCTATAAATTGCTCCGAATTCCCCGTCTATAAATTGCTCCGTTACATGAACCAGACGACAGGTATATGATTGTTTTTCTTGGTTTTTCCAGCATCTACGAACACGAAAACTTTACAAAAGTCAGTGTATTAATATTTGCCATAAAATACTAACCCCCCAAACCCATCCATTTCTGAGAATTAAAGCAAAAGCAAATGTATACTCCCTTTAACATGCGTCCCTATCGGCATATGCCTACAGTACGCTTTGTACAGCTTGCACTTTTTTGCGTCCATAGGTCCGTCTTTTATGTTACGTTGACTGGTTGTCATCCGTGAACCATTTCGTGTTATTACTGTACACAAACCAAGTGTTAATATAGGATCCAGACAATGCAGTTCGTTTAACAGGGAGTTATTTCAGCTGCTATCGCTGTGACTTTGTTTGGTTTATTTTCTGCAGCGAACTACATTTCGCTTATTACACAGATCTTTACTGTTAACAAGGAATACAAGGTACTTGTGGTTCGTTTTGTCGCAAATAACATAATGTCTTGGGTATTAATAATGTTCTGAAAGAGGAACAAGTTCTACGAAACTGAAACGGTTTAAGTATAGACTTTTTTTTAAATATTTGCACAACGACAAATTATGTTATAACAGACCTCAATACCACAATGGCAATCGGACTGAGGGACGTTCACGATATGTACGAGTTAATATCGATAAAAAAAGACATCAATCGACAATCGAAGAATCGATTGTGTGCACCATATTGAAAGGTGCGATATACTATCAATAAAACAGTGCCGGGGGTGTTGAAGGGAGGCGGGCTGCAGGTGCTTGGACCTAAGTGTACTCAATCACCCACGTTAGCCGGCCCACTCACAAATTCATGTTGGTGAAAATTTAAAATGCCATAAACTACGCTGGGGAGATTATTTATTATTCAAACATAGCCTTCAATTTGCTATCCATTTGGAATTTCAATCGCATCCGTATATTTTATCAAAATAATATAGGTTTTCCCGGCTATTTTAAAACACTTTTCATTCAAATTCACCGATTCAAACATTCAATTTCTCCCGTGAAAAATTTCAGACGTTTTAAAAAAAAACAATTTGGTCATTTTCCATTCAATTTCAAAGTTTGGTCACCCTCATTAGTCGCCGGGTCGAAAATATTCGTCATTACAGACCAAATTCGTCGAAACTGTTGCCGAATAGCAGCATTCAGAGATCGAATTCGTCTTATATAAATATATAAATCAATTAGACGAATTTGATTTCTGAATAATACGATTTGGCGTAGACGAGACGAAGTCGTATACTCCGGGACGAAAACATGTGCTCATTGCTAAAATCTGCACGAAATGAATTTGAGTTTGTGTGACAAAAAGACGAAATTATACATTGGATGTGAGCTAAATTGATGGTGATGGACGAATTTGAATATTATAGGTTTCCCCGGCTACTTTAAACGATTTTTCATTCAATTTCACCAACTCTACCATTCAATCTCGCCCACGAGAAATCGCACTCGCTTTTATTAAAACCAATTTAGTTATTTACCATTCAATTCGAAAGTTTGGTCAACCTCTTTAGTCACAGGGTCGAGAATATTTGTCATTGCAGATCAAATTCGTCTATCCCTGTTGCCGAATGGCAGCATTCAGAGATCGAATTCGTCTCATATAAATCATTTAGACGAATTGGACTTCTGATTAACAAGGTTTGGCGTGGACGAGACGAAATTGAATACTCTTGGACGTAAACGTGTGCACACTGTATAAAATTGCTTGAACTGAATTTGAAATTATCTGACAAAAGACAAAATTATACATTGGATGCGAGCTAAATCGGTGTTGATGGGCGAATTTGAATAATAGAAACGGTGAATTCGAAAGATAAATGTTTTAAAATAGCCAGGAAAACCTTTGGAAACAGTGAAGTTGGATGATAAACTTTTAAAATAGCCGGGAAAACCTATAGTAACGCGGATCAGTTGAAAAAAGGTGATCCTGCAGAAATCTTCTAATTGCATAAATAAATTCGTTGTGTAGGCCCTATATTCGAAACATTTGTTACATGAGTTTTAAGGGTTTCCATTTTCAGATCAATTTTCTGAAAAGAAAAACACCTAAAGTTACATCACTTCTACTGATTGCCTGCGACTGCTATTGTGTTGGATCTTCTCATCACGTAGCGGCTTCAAAAACAAAACCCTTCTTCGCTCGAGAATTCTGTTTTGCTAACCTTCCCAGTCACACAAGCCCGAGAGCTCCAATTAAGAATTTAAGCTTTTTTTAACCCGGGGAAGATTAGAGATTCGCCTCGCCACAAATGGAAACGAAATCTGGCTGACACATCGTTGGCAGTAAGGCGTAATGTCCAACCCTGGCGTTATTTCGTGCGTCAGACAGAATCAATGCACGTGGCGTAAAATGCGGAGTGCAAGATTGGCGCGCTGTCGGGCGTATAACGTGACCAACTGGATGGGGTCTGGCCGCGCGGGCACTGAAAATCCCGCACTTGACTCGAATCACGAGTATACCAAACGATCATGGAGACTTCACTTGCGAGTATAAAATGTATACAGAGAACAACTTTCTCCTTTGTGCCAAGTGGACATACAGAGGGAATAATTGTCTTTCAGACCATCGAATGACTGCGTTCTTTTGTCTTGTACATTCTTACACCAATAAATAAATGTTAAATGCTTTCTTTCATCAGAACAGTTCAAACTAAATGACAACCTTTAAACATACTAATCTTAACCAATTACATTCCTACACCATGTAAAACCTCAGTCATAGTCAAATTCAAATACTTTGTAGGGTTTGAACATCACTCAATTGATCATCCTTGTAACACTGCTAGGAGAACGAAACCCGTACACACAAGTGTCAAGACACCTTCAATCGTGGTTGTCCCTCTTTTTTGTACTCTAACGTTTTAAAAAGACCTCCCATATGTTTTGTACACGATCGTCGATTATTGTGGACCTTCGGGAATTGTGGACCCTATTGTCCTCTATTGTTCCACCTCCCCTACTGAATGCAAAAACAAATCCAATAACACCAAAGTAATGTCATCCATAATACAAGGACCTTAAATACACAAAATAACGCGAATGACTTGATGTCAGACCGCCTCAGTCCCACATTGTCTCGAAACCTACATTTTGAGTTTTATTTATCGTTTGAAAATAATCCTATCAAAAAAAGACTTCCTGCGACGCTAAACGCCTCCATTGTCCCTTTTGATACAGCAAAGCAAACATCAACATATCATTCTAAGAGCTTCTTAGAATCAGGTTACCAGACTTCAAGAGGGAAATATAGGCCATTCGATACAATCTGTGCAAACCAAAGCTTGCTGTCTGCACCACACAATGTACCCATTCCAAACATGAAATCCAACGTCACGCGTGAATCTCCGATGTCGCCCAGGCGACAGATTAATGCTTCACTTCTCCGATGGCCAATGTTACTTTTCTCATCAGTAAGAAAGAGGGAACCGACCATCAACCATCAAAAGTGAAGACGACAAAAAAAAATCGATGGGACTTTCACTCCAATGCTCATAGTAATTGGTTGCGCGCTTGAACGTAATCCTCAATTTGACATTTAGGGCATTTAAAACATCAGGAAACACATAACGTACCCAATTCCGATCACAATTTCCAAAAACAGTCGCTTCAATAATGCAAACCTACTCATTTCACCTACTGACACAGTTTTTGTTTTGCAAAGAATAGCATGCTAAACAAAAACAATTATTTACATCTGTAAAAGATATCAACACAACATAATCATCTAAGAAAATTATCACCGCTGTTTTTTTTTATTGTTATCATTTTATATATAATTTATTTATTTATTATAAATATCATTTTGAGAGAAATTCCTGGACACGAATCAGTCTGTCTTTCAGGGTCGAGCAATGTTTATGCGAACTTGTCTCCAGGAAATTAATTAAGTTACAAAGAGGATGGATAGGGCGACACAGGAAATTAAATTGAAACAAGAAAAAAAAATCAATTTTACGGGGCAAACAAAAGCATTCTGAAATATAAGCAGCCGAAGGACCTCGTTAAAATAAATCCTTGGTTTTTATTGCTTTATCATTTATTAGTGTTAACAATTTGTCACTATGATGAATATGCGCTTATGACGCAAATTCGTAGAGACAACTTTCAGTTGGTGATCTTTAGAGCAAATACCCTTTGACTGTAATCAAATTGGAATGGATCAACACAATA